TCATTTTATTCATTATCAATTATTTTTAATAATTAAATTATGATAAAATTTTGATAATTTTTTATAACCCTAACAAAATTAACAGTAACCATAACCATAGCCATCTTGTTTCGTAACTGTAAATTTTTTTATTTATCAGTTGAAAAATAACGATAATTCAGAAAAAACTTGAAGAAAATAGGAAGGAGATCGACGGGAAAACATTTGATGGAAAGCACCGGGCAGTGCTAGGAGTTCTGGATTCCAGGTTCTCTTAAATTTTAGAAAGTTTATTGATATATATATATATGGTTCATTAATTTTTAGTTTTATTATTTTTATCTTTAAATTTTTATTTGTTTCATATAATTTTAATTTATTTCTTTATCAATTTTTCATTTTACACTTTTAAATTATAAGTTTTAATGATTGAACTTGATGAATATTATAAAATGTATTAAATCAAAAAAATATACTAATTATTTTTCTATTAAAATTAAGGACCTTAACAAATTAATAAAATTATTGATGGCATTTCAAATATATATATATATATATTGGTGGCAACATCAGTCCGGTTGTTACTACTGCAGGGCCAGTCAATAAACAGGGGTAGCTTAATTAGGGCTGCTGTAGTTTTGGTTAAAGTCGACGTCTTTCTAATGAGCTAGACTGATTATAACGGATGTGGTTATAATCAATAATTAATTTTTTTTAAATTATTAATTTTATTTGTAATTTAATTAGTTTACAATAACTAATTATAATATTTAAAAATATTTATTTAAAATTTAATTTTAATTTATTAAATAATAAATATTAATTATTTTATTAATTATTAATTATTTTTAACCATTAAACTAAAATAAAAATTTAACCATTTTAATAACTTTAACAAATTAATGGTGGCCATACCATGCCCGATTATAGCTTGCCGTGTCTGCGTCACTGTTATTTTCTGTGACGAAGACACAGAAAAAATTGTCTATTAGTTAAACATATTAATCTTTGCTGTCTCGTCTTTCTTTGGGTTGATATATTTTATCTATTAGTTAAACATATTAATCTTTGCCGTCTCATCTTTCTTTGGGTTGATATATTTTCTATTAGTTAAACATGTTAATCTTTGCTGTCTCATCTTTCTTTGGCATTTCTAAAGTAGTTTCTAATTATTTGTTTGATTCGTGCAATCAATTATAATACGAAATACTTCTTAATGAGCTTTCTCTTTAAGTTAATATTTCTATACTGTGTTTTATTTTTTTGGTAAGTTGGATACTGAGATATAAAATAGGGCTATTCTTTTTTTTTTTTTCCAAATCTATTTTCATTGATCATAAAATTTAAATTTAAAATTTTCAACATAAAAATTGAAGCTCATGATTAATGGAATGTCTTCCTAGAAGACATTTCTAAATTGCCTTTGAATATTATAGAAAAAGTATTGTAAAAAACCAATCACAAAGGAGAATTTATATAGGAGTTAATGCTTGTTTACCTTATTTTTTAAAGATTATGACAAAAATTACTCTAAAATTATGTCATTTTAAAAACAATACCACGAGAAAAAATCAAAAACACTCTAATTCTTACTTTAAAAATAAAATATTTTATTATTTTTCAATGAGAGTTTATATACTTAAAAAATAAAATATTTTAGTATTTTTCAATGAAAATTTATTGAAATGACATAATTTTAGGATAATTTTTTTCTAAATTTTCTAAAAAATAAGACAGATAAATACTATTCATATATATATAGGTGCATTATTTTACAATTTGAATTGTTTTGAACCATAAAATAGAGATTCTTTGATGGGGAGGGCACTTGATATTAGGAGCCCACCCCTTCAAATGGTTAGATTTTATATTTTAAAACAATACAAACCGTAAAATACTTTTTTTGTATATATATAAAGAAGATAATGAAATTATTAATAAGTGTTTTTTATATTATTATTTCCTATAAAACTTTTCTAAAAATTGCTCAATAAAAACTTACCAAACACTAAAACACAAAAAAAAAAAAAAAAAAAAAAACCGATATCAAAGTGCACGAGA